AGGAGCTTCAGAAAAGTAAAGTTGAGAAACACTGCTGAGGTTGAAAGAGAAAAAAGAGGCCAGGCATTCCAGGCCAAAGTTTTCAGGGTTTTTACAACAGGGAGAAGAAAAATGATAAGACATGTAGAATGTGAACTTGTGAAGGCTCATATTTCTGGAATATTACTTTAGAAGCAGGGGACAAAATATATAAGGAATGGAGAAACAGTACTTTGGAATAGCAGTCAGAAGGTCTCAGAAGTGATGCTTGCTTCCACAGGCCTGGAATTCTGGATGAAGCTGGCATCTTAGCATCTTTCTTTCTTTCTTTTTTTAAGAATTATTTATTTATTAATTTATTTTTTAATTTAACCAGAGAGAGAACAAGAAAAGGGTAAAGTGAGCAAGCAAGCTGCCAGGTCCAGGGTTCAAACTGTGGTCAGCCATGTGGGAGTGTCCAGCGCCTTAACTACCATGCCACCTGCTCATCTTCCATTTTAGAATCTTTCAAAGGAAGATTCTGAATGGCTTTCTTGGACTTGTATTTGATAATATCTTTTGTGGAGAGGGCAATCTGAGAAAACATGGTGTGGCCTTAGCATTTCCATAAGCAACTCTAGCAGGACTATTAAGAAGCATTCTGGGGGACCAGCAGTTAGGGTAATGGCTATGTCACTGGATTCCCATGTAGTTGACCGCGGTTCGCGTCCGGGACCCAGTGGCTTAAAACTCACGCTGGGCACATGTGCGTGCGTGCCCAAGATCCCAGAGGAGAATGGAGGAGAAGGGATTGCGGCGTCACCATCCCCCCGGGGGGTGATTTCTCGCTGTCTGTCTCTATGTCTCTCTCTCTGTCTGGCGAGTGCACATATATATATATTAAATATTAAATATATATATAATTAATATATATTTAATTTTCTATGATGCTAACATAGAAAATTAAAAATATATATATGAAAGAAGCATCTACATAGGAAAGCAGTTATCTGCCTGCTGTCAATGGTTATCTTCCTGTTGTTGATACCTGATATCCCATACTGGCAATATTCAGCTAAAGGAAGTCACATGTATTTATCAGATTGTCCCCCAAAAAGGTCAGAGAAATTAAATGGCACCAGTCATTTTCACACCTTCAGGTGATTAACATCCTAAAACAACTGGCTTTGCACTCCATTTCCTCCCTCCGCCCCCATTTTCTGCCTTTTAAAAGAATAAACCTGAGGCCGGTTCTGGTCGCATGTTCTCCATCAGAGCAGCTGTGCCCACTCAATCCTTGCTTTTCTTTTTTTTTTTGGGGGGGTAGTTTTTTGCTATGGGACGCATGCGCTAGCCAGACAGACAGAGAGAGACAGAGAGATAGAAAGCAAGAAATCACCCTCCAGGGGGGAAGGCCACAATCCCTTCTCCATTCTCCTCTCAGGATCTTGGGCATGCCTGGCCTGAGTTTAAACCACTGACATGTTCGGGACTTGAACCATGGTAGACTACATAGGAGTTCAGCGACATAGCCATTATGCTAACTACTGGTCCCTCAATCCTCGCTTTTCTATACTTGTGTCTTTTTGTGTTTGTTATTGCATCTATTTCTAATCCACAGCCTTCCCCCTCAGAAAAACATGTCAGCTGAGCTGGCCTCGGCATCTTTGATGCCTTATTTCTCTAGCAAATGTAAGTGCTAAAAGACATAAAATAGAGTGTTATGTCTACATTTCTCAAATTTTAATATGGAATTATATGGGAAATGAACCAGGCTACTCATTATCATGTCCCTTTAACAGACTGAATGGCCAAAGCACTTCGAGATAATTAGCAAATAGAAGAAGGCCCCTAAGTTGCTATCTAAACAGCTTTACCTTCTAGGGGTCAGCTGGTAGCATGGTGGTTAAGGCAGCTGGATCCTACCTGGACAACTGCGCAGTTCCAGTCCTGGACCGATGGCTTGAAAGACATGACATGTGTGTATGCCTGCATGTGCAAAATTCCAAGAGGGCAGCGGAGAAGAGATTGCAGCGGTCATCCCCCCTACAGGGGCGGTTTCTCATGTTCTCTCTTTCTCTTTCTCTCTGTCTCTCTCTGCTGAGCACACACACTCTATAGCAAACTTAAAAAAAATGTGGTCATCAGATGATGTGGTGGTCAAGACGCAGGATTCCCACATGGCTGACCATAGTTCGAGTTCCAGAGGTGGTGGCTTGAAACTCACTCTGTGCATGTGTGCATGTGTGCCCAAAACTCTGAGAGGAAAATGGACAGAGGATTGCAGCATGGCCCAGCCCCCTCAGGGGGTGATTTCTTACATTCCCTCACTCTGTCTCTCCCTGGCAAATGTATGCACCCCGTGGCAAAAATCTAAAAGAAACAAAAGCCTTAGCTTCTATTTATATATATATATATATATATATACTCAAACACGTTTAGTATGGAGTTCCAAGAAACCTTTTAGGATTTAATTGATACAAGATATTTCATCAAAGGGTTGTAAGGTTTTATTTAGTGGGATGGGTAAGGATATTTGCTTTTTTGTTTTGTCTCACTTCTTTTGTTTTACAACAGGGTCTTGCTGAGTTGTGATTCTCCTACCTTAGCCTCATAGAAGGGACAACAGGCATACACCACCATGCCCAGCTCTTTTTTCAAACAGGGTCTCACTATGTTGCCCAGCGGGCTTCAGGTTTACAAATGTCCAGCCTCGGCCTCCCTATGCCACTGGGATAACAAGAATACACCTCTGTGCCCAGCCTAGGCTGGACTGGGAACTGACCCCAGGCCTCCCGTGTGGTCCCAGCCTGTGGTGCACAGTATCTTAGCAGCATGTGCCATCGCAACTGGACCCAAGGCGGGTTTTCTTTCATCATTTCTCAGTATATGGCTGAAGTTTTGTAAACATATGGGAAATTAGTAATTATGTCACATTAACATTGCGATCCATCAAAGTGCTTATTAAATAATTTTTGGCAGAGCTAAACTAAGGATCTAATGAAGGAATCATGGTCTTATATACCTGCGGTACCCATCTGGAGGACACGAAGCTGGTCACTTCTATCACAGACAAGCCAGTTTGAGAAAGTTGATTGATAAATTCAATTTTTATATCTGTAGGAACTATAACCTATGGAAATATAAAAGGTACATTTTAAGTAAGTTATATAGGGTCTGTTGAAGCATGAACAGAAAATGACTTTCTAACTAAAATAAAATATTGTGTATGATTTATAAATTCAAAAACCAATTGAGAATAATCAACTAACATACAAAATCCATGAAAGTTTTCAAAATCTTAAGTAATACTTGAATAGCCATGCTAACTATTATAAAACTACCTTTTCATTCTGCAATCCATCTCTTGGTCCAACTTCTACTACTTTAACATACTCAGGGAGTCCAGATAGCTGGGATGATTCCTGAAATAGAAAGCATAAGAACAAACAAACAAAAACAACAGATCACCTTTAGATTGCCACAACTACTAATTTGAAAAGTTAAATGATTATACTTTGTTAAATGCATTCTTGGGCCAGACGATGGCATGGTGATTAGGGCAGCTGTATCCCATATGGTTGACTATGTGGCTCAAGTTCTGGAGCTGGCTGTTTGGAGGCATGCTAGGTGTATATGCATGCATGCCCAAGTCCCAAGGGGAAAAAGAAATGGAAGAGAAGAGATTGTGGCATAACCAGTTCTCCTGGGGGGTGCTTTCTCATTCCCCCACCCCCATATCTATCCAGTGAGCTCACACACTCTCCGGTAAAAATTGTTTTTAATTATTTACTTATTTACGTTATTTATTTATTTATGATTTGAACAGAGAGAGAGGGGAAAGTAAGAAAGCAATCTGCCAGGTCTGGGACTCAAACTGCGGTAGACCACAGTACAACACTTCAACCACCATGCCACCTGCCTGCCCCATCTCGTAAGTTTTTTAAATAAATAAATAAATTCTCACCCCAGAAAGTTAAAACAATGAGAAATCAACCCTTCAATAAAATGTAAACATCCTCACCCTACTTACTGGCAAAATGAAATAATTTTTCCTTATAACTGAGTGATAATCAGTACAGTTATGACTAAAATTCAAAAGATTAATTTTGAGAGGGCTATGTGGTGGCACTGTAGCAATGCAACTGAATTTACTGGGTTTGTGTCCTGGGACTTCCCTGAGAAGATTAGGCATGTGCATATGTCTGTGATCCAGGCCAGCTAGGGATAAGGGTAGATCACAACTCTGAGACCCTGTTGGGATACACCTCTCTCTCTTTCTAACATGAAATAAATAAATAAATACACTTTTGAATAGGATCAATTTCTAAAATGTAACCATAGGAGAGATGGATTACCCAGGATCTAAAGAACGAATCTGTTGGTTAATTATGCATGAGATGATCAACTCATATTATTAGAGTTGTTAAAAAATTAGGTATTCATGGGACCAGCAGTTAGCATAATGGCTATGTCGCTGGACTCCCACATAGTTCACCATGGTTCGAGTCATGGACCTGGTGACTTAAACATACGCTGGGCGTGTGTGCATGCGTGCCCAAGATCCCCAGAAGAGAAGGGAGGAGAATGTATTGCAGCATGGCCATCCCCCCCGGGGGGGTGATTTCTCACTTTCTGTCTCTGTCTCTCTCTGTTTTTCTGGCAAGCACACATGCCCTATAGCAAAAACCTCTCCAAAATAAAATTAGATCTTCATATGAACAGATTACTACTAAGAAGAGTCATACAGGATGTCACCCTATGTACCCAGAACTTCAGTGTGAATTTGATTCTCTAGCTTGAGCCCAGAAATATGAGTCTAGAGGAGAACATGTGCCGTTTATTTTTTCTGTGTCACATAGCACAACTACTTCCTAAATGCTGCTCTCTAAAGGACAGACCCTTAGTAGGACAAAAACATCAAAATCCCACCAGGAACAGCCTATTCTTGCCCAGTGTAATGAACAACTTGTCCAAATCTGAGGTTGATTAATGGTCTGGATTCTGAAACCTCTGTCCCTAGAAAAGAAACTATGGACCTAGTTTAGAAGGTCCATTTATCTTTTAAATATATATATCCAAAAGGTTGCTATTTAAAATAGGAAAAATAGGGACCAGCAGTTAGCATAATGGCTATGTCGCTGGACTCCCATGTAGTCGACCGCTGTTCAAGTCCTGGACCTGGGGGCATAAAACTCACACCGGGCACGTGTGCATGCATGCCCAAGATTCCAAGAATGGAGGAGAAGGGATTGCGGCGTGGCCATCCCCCTGGGGGGTGATTTCTCGCTTTCTGTCTCTCTGTCTCTCTCTGTCTATCTGGCGAATGCACACGCCCTATAGCAAAAACCTCTCCAAAAAAAAAAAAAAGGAAAATAGGAAAAATAGGAATACAGTCTTCCTAAATTTCATATTAAAAATAAGATTGGGAGTAGGCTACATCTTTTAAGACTGTATTAACACAATCTTTTGGTACTTCTGATAGTGCGAGTAACCCATCACCAAGTCATCATGTTCTTCGAATGGAGAGTTGATGGAATCAGGACCAATCCCTAAGGACCTCTTCTTCAAAAGTTTTGTTTTGCCTTTTCATCAGAGAAGATGACTTCAAGCCAACCAATTCCTATTAACTCACTCGGTCTTGTAACAGTTATTGGCATATAACAGTGAAGTGACTGTTTTGGGTATAGAACCCACTTCATATTTATGACATAGAAAAGTTCATCAGTCATTTTAGGGTTCAAAGCTTTCACTGGCATTATCAGCCTACTACACCAACTCAGCAAAAGGACCCAGATGGCTTCTGTTACAAGGTTTACAAGCTACCCTCCACAATTTCCATGAAACTGGACAATAAGCAAAAGTAAGAAGAGAAAGAATTCTCATTTCCATAGGGTTGTGTGTTAAGCTAATTTAGGAGGGGAAGGTTAAGAGGAGAGACATGAGGCCTAAGTTTAGGATGACATTCATGAAATCATGCCCAATTTGCAGTGTAGCTATTGTTTCAACCAAGTAAGAAAGGAAAGGTATGATGTGTTGCACAGGAAGGTGGAGTAAATGAGAAAAGCTCACTCCTCTTTCTTATTACCTCCAGTCATAAGGTGGCAGAATAGAACAAAAACAAAACCAGGTGATCTTAAGCCATGTGGTCTCATTATTACTGATTATTTCCTGAAACTACATTTTCAGAAGCAATTAAATTGGGGAACACTGGAAAAAGAACACTGCTTCACTAGCTAGCAATGTTTACCAGGAAAGGAACATAGTGTTCTTTAAGGTAATAACAACATGCTGAGTACAAATAAAGAGTTGAGGGCCTTCCTTTGCATCAATGTGTTACAGCTGGCATTATTAACAAGTCATCCTAAGAAATTAGTAAAGATCAGCAACACTTACAGGTCATTTCAGGCAAATAAGAATATGTGTTTACACTTTTTTCTTAGATTCTTCTTAAATCTAATGCTACTGTTTAGTCTTTCTAGAAATTGTGAATTACATCAGTGACAAGAGAACTTCACTAATACAATCAATAAGAAATTATAGAGCACAGTCTACATGTCATGCATTGTGCTGGGTATTGGATATATGCCAAAATAGGACCAGTAATTAATGGGCCAACTAGATATACAAAGTAAGAGGAAAGAGAAGGACTAGACAGTGCAGGGGAATATCTGAGGAGAGGCATAGGTTGAGGAGAGGGGAGAAAATGAGTTCAGTTTTAAATCACTACATTTTATGTGATCATACATGTAGATAGATTTGCCCACTGGGCAGAGCTTCTACATATTTGAACTCCTCAAAAATCTCAATTACAGGGCCTAGGTGGTAGTGCAGTGACTTGGACCTACATAAGAAGTGTCCTGGACCATTCCAGGACCCCTGACCACACTGGGTATGCGCCATGCTCATGATCCAGGCTGACTGAGACTAGGGGTAAAGATCTTTTTGGGGATGCCAGTCTCGCTGTCCCATGAAGAAAGTAATAAACTTTAAAAAAAAATGGGAACCAGCAGCTGGCATAATTGGTTACTTTGCTGTATTCCCATGTAGTCAACTACGGTTCAAGTCCTGGCCCCAACAGCTTAAAACTCACGCTGGGAATGTGTGCATGCATTCCCAAAATCCCAAGAGGAGAATGAAGAAGGGATTGTGGTGTGGCCATCCTCTCTGAGGGGGATTTCCTCACTTTCTGTCTCTCTGTCTCTCCAGCAACCACATGCAACTCTATAGCAAAAAAGTTTTGTTTTGTTTTGAAAAAAGAGAAAAATCAAAGATAGAAAGTTAAGGAAGATATTAAAGATTACCAAGAGAGGGCTCTCACTTCACATCTAGTCAATAAGTATGACAGGGGATCCACTGAAGAATGAGAAACAGGAGGAGAACCAGGTGGTACCTGAATAACAATGGGCTACATTTCAGGAGCTGTATTTGGAGAATCTCAACATTTCCTTATGGGCAGTAGGCATCCCTGCCCTTTGCTCTACAGGGAGACACTATCTCCATGTTCCAAATCTGTTGGCTATCTAAACATCGTTGAAGAGCTATTCCCAAAGCAAGGCAATTAATGTTTTGTATCTAAAAAACAGATAAATGAGACCCATAAAGGTATTACTACCTCTGTTACTATTCGGTTTTATTTCAACTCAAACTCAAATTCATTATAAGACTCAACATGCCATCTATTCATAAGGACTTCTGACCTTCCCAGATAATTAAGTAATTTCATTCCCACAATCCTATAACACTTTGTAGAGACATGGTTTTAAATATTATAAAATATATCTGTAAGTACTGCTTTGTCTGCCTGTTTCTCATTTTAAAAATATGAACCCTCAGAATTATCAAAATGAACACATAATAAATACTTGGTCAATGCTTCCTGAATGCATAAATTGATGAATGAATGAATCAATTCCATGTCTAAAATTTAGAAATGTTAGGTTGACCTTTAAATTAGCCAACATTTGCAAGCCAACATTATTATAGTTATTGAGTATAGAAAAATGAACCATCCAAGGAGAAGTGTCTGTCCATAACTAGCTTACATTTTAGTGGTAGAAGAAACTGGAATACCACGAAGCATCTATGGAGGGACACTTTTCTTACACGCTGAACACAAGAGAATGACTTAGAAGTTGCGATGAATTGAGATTTTTTTAAAAAGTAGCCTGCAGAAGTTAACAGCATACTCTTTAAACAGGCCTACAGTCTAAAACTTATTTTTACTGCATTAAAGGTGCTATGTTACTGAGCTCAGTATCCTGTTTAATGTGCAGCACAGGGTATGATACTAGTGAAAAACAAAAGACGTATTATCCAAAGTGAAGGTTTCAAAAGCTATGTTATATAACCAAATGTACGCCTACATTTGGCATCAGATTTCTAAAGGCTCACTTCCACAGATCAACAACAAAAGAAATACTAT